TCCGTAATGATGATGAGAGGTAAACTGTACCGACAAATGAGATATGTCCAGATGAAGTTTCGGATGACCTTCGCAAATATCTGGGCAAGCGTCTTTGCTTCGGTCCACTTTGAAAAATAGTCCAAAGCAACTTGAAGAAATTTACTCTGACCCTATGATTGTGGGAATGACCCAAGGATATCAAGGCCACAGAGAACGAAAGACCAAAAGTTGATGATCAGTTGCATTCTATGGGTCGTTTGGTTCTACAATGATTCGTACTTTTGGCATTGCTCGTATCTTCTAGAAAATTCCTATCTTTCAGGAGTTTGTCCAGAAGTAGCCTTATCATTGCACTCTTCGCGCCATAGTCTTTCCTCCAGAGTGACTCTAGCACTCTCCAGAGTGTATCCCTCGGAGGATGTCTTTTATTTCATTCTCTCCAAAGCACCTCAAATAGAGGGAAGTGGTCGAGTTTCAAAAGGGCTTCCCCTCTATCAGCAGGTATTAGGTTGCTTTGCATTTGATTATTCTCAAGTTTGTAACTTCGTCAGCAATCTTCTTGATCTCCAATTAGTGGACGAAGGGATCTATCCAGCTTTTTGCTCCTTCGACCTCCACCTCCATTGCCTCAGGTTCTTCAATTGTCGATCGGAATAGTTTATTTAGGTGTCCCCTCTCCAAAGCAGATGCACTTGGATGTATCGGCCACTTAATTTTCCTACCTAATGATGTGCTCGATTCTGCAGTTGGTGAATTTCTACATCTCTATTTTGCTTTGTTGAGGCATTTGGCTGTCGTCTCATCTCTGGCTTTAAATTCTATGTTCGCTTGATTAGCTGCCAGTTGGGAGTTTGACTTCACATGGAGATATCAGGCTCCCATTTCATAGGTTAGACGCAAGCCGATAATCAGAGGTTCATATTTCGTCTGCATATTCTTGAATTTCAATTCTATGGTAATTGAATGCTAAAGGTATTCCCTGGTCGAGCTACTTAGAAAAAGTTTGATCCCCACCAAGTCTAGTTGTTGTTTGTGGGTCCTTTGTTCGACTTGCATGACTTGAAAAAATCTGCCAAAAAGTTTGTTATTGCTTGCTCCTTGATTGTGATCGGGGGACGTAAGAAATGTACTTAGCTTCACTGCCCATTTGAGGAGCCGGTCGAAATGCTCTGGTCAAGTGAGAATGCATTTCAGCGGGTGGTCAGTGATAACTCTGACGATATGAATTTGGAAGTAGGTTCGACGCCTGCGAGCAGAAATAATCAGAGCAAAAGTTAACTTTTTCATAGTCGGATACCTGATCGCCTTCGAGGACCCAACTGGTATAGTAAACTGGGAATTACTTTCCCAACTCCTCTCAAACTACCACTGAGCATATGGCCTTAGGTCCAAATCCCAAAAATAGAGACAAGTCTTTATTCAACTTCGGACTTTGGTTTAGTAGCGACGACAGTAAAGAATCTTTCAGCTTCACAAATGCTGCTGACATTAGGCTAACCATTCGATATCCTTGGCCTTCCTTAGCGTTTTGAAGAAAGTTGTGCATTGTCGCCCAACTTTGATATGCACCCACTCAGACCTGCTATTCGACCAGTCAATTATTGAACTTCATTGGTACTCTGAGGTGAAGGAATGTTGAGTGATTCATGTACTTTCTCCAAATTGGTCTTTATTCCCTCTGAGGTCAAGAGGCAGCTAAGAAAGTTATTTGTGGATGCTTTGAAAGAATATTTTGATGGATCGGATCTCATATTATATTTTTTAGAGAGTCTCAAACGTTTCTTTTAAACCTTTTATGTACTGTTCAACCGACTAACTTTTAACGAACACATTATTCACATCCACTTCAATATTTTTTTCCCTTTTTACTTGGAAAAAATTACATTCATAAGACGCTGGTAGGTAGTCCCAACATTTTTAAGCTCGAAGGGCTTTTTAATATAGCAATATATGCCCTCACTAGTTATAAAAGTCGTTTTCTTCACATAAGTCAGGTGCATCTTAATTTGGTGATAGCCTGAGAAAGGTTTAAGAATTTCATCATGGAGTAGCCAACTGCTGGGTCTACCAACTTATCAATCCTCAGCAGTAGGTAGCTATCCTTCGGGTAGGCAAAGTTCAAATTGATGAAGCCCACACACACCATCCACTTCACCATGTTGGAGATTCACATTGAGTATTGTACCTCCTGAATGCAGCTGACCTCCTTCAATTTATGCATCTCTCCTTCAATTGGTCCAGCCATAATCATAGTTGATGACCTTATTTTTTTCTTCATTGGTCGGGCGGTCGGATTCATGTTCAATCGATGGCAGGAGACATCGAGCAATGTCCCTAGCATCTTTGCCGCTGACCAGGCAAAGACATACTGATGCTCCTGGAGGGTCCTGCTCAACAAATCTTTAGATCCTACATCAAAATTTTCACTTATTAGGAATGATTTACTAGACTCTCCTTCAATTGCATGGCTTTTAAGAGTAGACTCGCTAGTCTCGAGACCCCCTTCGCGTCGATGTTGTAGGGCGAGCGGCTCCTGTTCTACACTCATGGTCGCCCCAAGGTAGCAGGACTGAGATCGTTCCAAGTTCCCTCGAACGGGGACGATCTCTCCATCGCAAGGAAGCTTCACCGCCCCGTGGTATGTCGAGGCAATGGCTTTGTAATCGTTCAGCAGAGGTCGGTCGAAGATGGCGCTGTAGGTCAGTGATGAAACTATCACTATTAAGTCCTCCATATATGTGAAATGATTCTCACATTCTCCCCAAGTGACCAATAACAATCCAGGTGGTTGATTTTGCCCTGGTGGACATAGGGGGAGAGTTGTACTTTTCGACTAAAATGTGATTGTTCGCCACCTCCAACAATTTGACTAGAGTCCTCTATCGTTAAAGGCCTGAAGCATAATGGAACGGTCCCTCCTTCGCTCCCTACGCTAGGGCGACATGTGTGAATGCTGGTTCCAGCACCCACACTTCTAGTATTTCCTTTTGGAACAGTGTGATAAACAAGCAGAGGTTCTCGTTTTGCTTTCAAATCTGCAGCAAGGCTTGTGAACTTCTATGCAACTTTTGGGTGTTAACAAACTGGACAACAAGCTTTCTTTTGAAATTGATAAAAGGAGGCGATCACTCCATCTAGCATCCCATTGAACCAGCTAAGTGTGGACTCCTTTAGAGTGTTGAAGAACATATGACACTTCAGGGCATCAGTATTCCTTAGCAGACAAATGTTCAACTAAAAGGAAGCAATATTATCGGTCAACAAACTCAAACCCTTACAGGTTTGCAACAAAGAGATTTTAATTTTTTTTAAGGCTCAACATTAAAAATTTGTCGAGAGAATGCATTTTGTAGATGGTGGGCCGCCTCAATACCCCAAATTGATGTCTATCTAACAATGCAGACTCAACACTGTCTTGGTAATGGGGATATCTTACTATGTTAGAAGCTTAAGTTGTCCTTCGATCGTTGTGCACCAATGCATCCTGGGGTTTCTGCTCCCTTCCAATATTTGACTCATGATCTGATCCTTCAACTCTTTGATTTGTTGTTGTATAGACTCCTTAGTGCATTTCATGTTTATGATGCCTCTTTGGGGTTTTCTTCTCATTTTAGTGCTCCTCTTTTTGTTGTTGGAATGATCTATACTCATCACAACTTTTAGGATATTGAATCTGGATCTCACACCAAAGGAATAGCGTAGAACATAAGAGAAAGAAAGAAAGAAACAGAGAGAGAGAGAGTGTGCAAAGTAGTGAACCATAGAATGAGGGAATTGTGTAGTCATTTATTCGTGAAATGACCCCTATTTATAGACAAAAAGAAGTGCAATAGGTGAAGTTACATATATGCCCCAACCGTATAAGCTAATTTAAGTATTTTACTCTTGTGGGCCCAAGGTCTTGTTGCTCTCAGGCTTGATCGACTGGGCTTAGTAGGACTTCATCGAGCTTTGTCAATCGACAGGAAGTGGTAGGCACTACCGTTCGGCTGTGCTATTGAAGTCATGATGGGTGTGTGTAAAGTTAGGAAGGAAGCGACTCGATTTATGTTGTCATAAGGCAAGATCTATATACAGCACCGATCGGCATGCCCTCTACAAACAAGGAGTCGATAGAACTGATCGGATAAGTCTTGACGATCATATGTATAATTGTAGTCGGCCCTTGATTATTGTCGAAGAACTTTTATCGGTTGAGTGAAGCTAGTCTATAGGACAAAAAGTAAATCACTATATTCTGATAAATAGCCTGTCTTAGACGACGAGAATATGGGGGAAGGTTGTTGGTCAGCCCCAGTGTGGCCATAAGATTTGAATGACTAGCTCTCTCTCACACTTGATTTCATCGGAGTGTCAGGTTCAAGTGATCATTTATCGTGTGACTGGGTGAGTCGCTCAGCTCATATCACATATTCATCCTTATAACAATTGATTTTGAGTCTGGTTCATCCAGTCATGTGCTCGAGTCTTCTGCTGCTAAGTCCACCCTTTGATATTACTTTTGTATCATGAACCGGCTGGTCTCCTCGAGATCTGAGTGGCATAATTTCTGCGTACAAAATCCAATTTGAATAAAGTATGATACCCAAAATCTTTATCAACATATTTAACCCAAAAAAAAAATTAAAAAAAAGGGTCAATGTTGCAAACCTATATAAAATTAAATATAACAAATACATACTAATTAAAAACCATCAGCTTCCACCAATTGAATTTTAACTCTAAAAAGGAAATAGAAAACTGATCAAAATCAAAGGTGTTCAATTGGAATCACTTGTCATTTTTTGTTTATTAATTTTTGAAATTAATATATATATATATATATATATATATATATATATATTTATATCAACATGTTTAAGAATTTAAGAATAGAGAGTCTCAAAATAATTTATGATAATATATATATATATATACAATTTTTAAAATTTTAAAAAAGATTTTCTCCTTCATACTAAACTCAATGAAAACAGAAAAGCTATCAATTAAGTAGGGCTTCTCATATCATGGAAGGGAAATATCTATAAGAATATACCTTATCTTAAACATTTTTAATACAGCTAATGATGATTATGTGTTATGTTTCGTCCAAAGATTCAATAAGTGAATGTAACAAATACAATTAGAATGGTCTCTGCATTGGAAGGCATTCTCAGTAGCATGCAGCAAAAGTGTAGAAACAGAAAAGAAAATAAAGAAAACTACTGAAAGCGAAGCCGTACTAAAACACCTAAAAAATCTCAGAAATAAGGCCAACTCTAGAATATAAAATATACTTCTTTTACGCCATGAAAAGTTATGAGATTCAAATGCGTATGAATCAAGCCTTGAGAACAGCCTTGTGAACCATGGTTTCCTTGTGGATTTGGTGGCAACTCTTCTCCACGAGGTCAAGTAATTTCTCCAGATTCAGAGCCCATGAATTTAGAACTTCATTGCTGTCTTTGGCCCTTTGGAAAGAAACAATTCCCATTGGCCTGTCAATCTTGGCTATCAGAGAGCTTGATACCACCATCTCTGAGAGATGCTTCTCGGCCTCCTGTGGAACCAAAAGTTCAACTTTGCCTTACGAAGAGTAAACAAAAGATTGAGACAAGCACATACTGGAAAAAAAAAGAGATTTACGGGAAAGAAGCTGATAATGTCGATCCACCATCGACATCAAGCACAGTAAAGCACACAAACCAAACCAAAACTACACCAGCCTTCCCCATCTTCCATAAGAGATGTGATCAGCGACGGAGGTATAGTTCTTATTTCTTTTAGAAAGAGTCCTTAAATCGTTAAGGATTACTCTCAACTTTTATGTTTCCTAATTGTAGATTCCTCTAATCAATTTGGTTATATGGGTGACAAAGAAATAATCTACATGATTCAGTGAGTGAGATTAATCTCCTCTCTTATTTATGTTTTGTATTGATCCCACCACCAAAGACATCTCTCTCTTATTTATGTTTGTATTGATCCCTCCACCAAAGACATCCCCTCAACATCAAAGATGGTCGCATCTGTGCTATGGTTGTCAGCTTGAATCGAGCCAAGTCCGAATGTAGCTTCTCCAATCACAACTTTGGACCAATTGTTAAACAAGCTATTCTAATAATGAAGTCATGGCCAAGAGACAGACCTCCATCTCTTATGTAACCTCCAACCTCGAAGTTCCTATCATGGGCACCAATAATGCATCAAACAGCAGTTTTCCTCCCACTATACTACACAAACTAAGGAGTTATTTAGTTGCATGTATTTAGAATACATATGTATTTCAAGTACAGTGAAAAAAATAGAATACAAATATTTAAGATTCTCAGCAGAATCCTCGCATCTCTTTCAAATTCCAATTGAATATAACTCCTATGGTTCAAACAGAACATTCTCCTTAATCCAAAACCAAATATATCTAATCAAAGTTCTTCCAACTAAACAGAATTCATATCAACCATTCAAAACCGTAAAAGTCAATTCACCAGCATCCTATTCTCCAAACAAAGTACAATTTACATTAAGTTAAAAGGATAATTCTAAGAGAAACACAATTTGAGAAGGGAAAGAAAGAATTATTTTACAGCAATCTGAAAAAAGCCAAGAATCTAATTTGACTACAAATCCTCATGAGAATTTACTAGGTTACTGGTTTCTAACCCACTCGTATTGAGTAAATGAACGCCTTTATGACTTTAATTCTTTTTCTTCCAGTAAAAAAATTTGTGCTAAAATTGATATAAAAAATTCTTTAATAATGTAGATCGTTAGTTTATCATTGATAGATTGATGAGACTTGATTTTCCTTTTCTTTTCATCAAGTGGGTCAATGCATGTATCCAAGGTGATAACTTTTTATATAATAATTAACATTGAGCTGAGAGGATGTTTAATTCTTCCTCTGAACTAAGACAAGGATGCCCCCGCTCTCCCTATTTGGTTATCATAGTGATGGATACTTGTCCATGTCTAACGGACAACCAGAACTTTCAGACTATTGGGAGTAATAACTTTGTAAACGTCAATAAAGTTTCTCACCTTATATATGCAAACGATTTGTTGATCATTGGAGATGCTATGATTAGCTCTATTATAGAGCTTTCATGCAAGTTCCTTAAGTTCTCAAAAGCCTCTAATTTGAGCGTTAATGCATCTAAATATGCTTTAAGTTTTGCCAAATCTATTGATTCAACTACACAAAATCAGATTTGTGAGATCAATAGGTTTGCTCTTAAAGCTCCTCTCTAAAATTATCTAGAAGTTGTTATCAAGCTCCAAGCTTGTAGCTGTTCATTGCCAAAAGCTTTTAGACAGAATCTTACCTTGGGTTTCCAGTTGGAAATTAAAAGTCCTTTCATTTGCCGGAAGGTTACAATTTCATAAAACTACAGTTTCGAGTTATTTGCATTGCTGATTTAGATCAGTAAGTATTCCTAAAGGACCAAGAAAAAATATTACTTCTTTGTGTAATATTTTTCTTTTTAACGGTAGTCATTCTAATAAGCTTCATACTATTGCTTGGTTTAATTCAACTAAGCCTATGCAATTTGGTGGTTTGGGAATGCCTAATTTGGATTGCATAAATCTCTTGTATCAATCTAAAATCATTTTGAGGCATTACAATTCCAATTCTCTTTTAGCTTCTTGGTGGTCTGAGCACTATGGTTCTCTCTGGTTTAAGAAAAACAAGCTTTCTTTTTTTTGGAAAGCTTTAACTCAAATTGTTGTTAAATTAAGAAGCGCAAACAGTTTTCAAGTCAACCGCAATAGTAATTATTTTTCTTCTTTGATCCTTGGCTTGAAGGTTATTCATTAGTAGAAAATTCATTTTCCAATGGTTTGATTACTCTGTTTATTAAAATCATAGAAGTGGTTGATAATGGTTCCTGGAATTTCTCAAATTCTGATAAAGTTTCTGAATTTTATTTAAGATCTATCACAAATATTACTATTAATTCTGAATTATTTATTATTTCGGAAACAATCTAAAAATTATTATCATAAGCTTCCATATAATTATGCTTAAGAAATTTATCCAGTTGATGGTTAGAGAAAGTTAATTTGGTTTAAAGGTCAATCTATAAGATTTGCCTCTTTTACGTGAAAAATTATGATGGAAGGCCTCAAAATAAGTGATGTTTTTTTTTCTTTAAGGGCATATCTATTAATAAAGATTGTATTTTTTTTGTTTAGCTAAAAGTGAAACTCATAGACATCTTTTCTTTGAATGTGTTTTATCCCATTCTATTTTGAAAAGATGCATTCCTCTAGGTAACTTAGTAACTTTCATCATTCTTAATTATATAGATAGTCTTTTTTCTAAATTCGTAAAGAGATACTTCTTGTTGGTTCATACTTCTGCTCATTTTATTTGGAGAGAAATGAACTCCAGAATTATTAGAAATACCATCTCTTCTCCCGATTTACATATTCAAAATATTCATGAGGTTTGATAGGGAGCTTTTCATGAGTGGAAGCTTTCTTTTCTGTTACCTTATTAAGCTCAACCTACTTCCAGAACTTTTGGCTACAATTAGAAGGTGGTTTTAATGCTTAATCATGATTGGCTGTTGTTGAGAGTCTTTGAGAAATTCATCTTTCAGAATGATAAATTGACTGGCAATTTGATTTGTATCAAATTTTATGGTAATTATGGAGTTTTTTTTTTTTTTTTTTTGGCTTTTATTTTTCTTTTATTTTTTTTTTTTTGCCTAAGGTTTTTTTGGAATGCTGATTTTCAAATATGAAGCTTCCCTCTTCACATTTTTGAGATTCGAGACTTTGAGGATTTTAACTTTGAGCTCTGATGGTTTCTTGCCTCTCTTTAAGCTCGACCAATTTCCAGTTTCCTCTGGTTGCGCATGGATTGTTTGCTAATATAACCAGGATTTTTTTTTTTCCCTTAATGATAGAGTTTTATAAGGAACTGTTCAAAATTAAGTTGGTGGGTCTAGTGCAACCAAGTTTCTGGCAAATCTGGGTTGAGTTTTCTGATTTGTTCAGAGAAGCTATTTTCCGAGCTCTATTTAGTTCTACTATTTAATTATTTTCTTCAGTTTTGCTTTTCCTTTTGACTCCTTATTCTTGAGTTTTCTGATTTGTTCAGAGAAGCTATTTTCCAAGCTCTATTTAGTTCTACTAGTTAATTATTTTCTTCAGTTTTGCTTTTTCTTTTGACTCCTTATTTGGTGATGTTGCTGGCGATCAGGATTTTTTGAGATTTTTATTGGAGATTCTTTTTTGAGTTGACTGCTGGAATTGCATATTTGTATTTTTAGATATTTTAGATTTTGGATGGTTTTCCATCTTTTTGTATGTAGCTGAGAGTTTATTGTCTCATCAGTTCAGTCATTTATCATGTTGAGATGTTGAAAGCTCAGTTTTTGTAGATCAAATTCTTTCAAGATTTTTCATCTTTAATGGCTACTTCAATTTGGTGGACTCTTCATCATTAGAAGTTGTGTTCTTGATATTTTCAACAGATATCAGTTATATTTTACTTCTGTAATCTTTTTTTGATGTATTTGGATTTGTAATCTTTGTTGTTTTCTATTTTTTGATACTTTTGTATCTTTCTATCATTTACTAAATAAATAAAGCTAGGTGTGGCTCACAATTTACCCAAAAAACATTAATCCCCTACTTAAGTTAAACCTACGATGATCACGCTCCTTTATATTTGGATTATTTTTAAACAACAACAACAAAAGCCTTTATCTCGCTAAGTGAGGTTGGTTATATGAATCATTTTTCTCCATTCTGTCGCATTGAGTGACATAATTTCATTTAATTCTAATAAATTAAGATCATTTTTTATACAATATGCCCAAGACTTTTTAGGTCTACCTCTACCTTTATTAACATAAGTCAAATCTAAAGCATCTACTCTCCTAACTAGGTCATCAGCTAGTCAGCATTTCATGTGACCAAAACATCTAAGGCGACCCTCTCTAATCTTGTCTTTCGATGGAACTAGTTCAACCCTTTCACGGATATATTCGTTTTGCATTTTGTCTCTAAGCATAAAGCCAATCTTCCATCAGAGCATTCTCGTCTTAAAAACACTTACACTTAATTTTATGCTTCTGTTTTACAGGTTAACATTTTGCGTCATAAAGCATTGCAGGTCATACCAACATCTTATAATTTTTTTCTGAGTCTAAACGATATTTTTTCTATCACATAATAGGCCTGATGCATTCCACCAATTTAAAAATCCAACTTGAATTCTATTAATAGCATCCCCATCTAGATCACCATCACTTCGAACAAAAGACCTGAGATTTTTAAACTATCACTCATTTTAATGACTTAATCACCCATAATTATAATCCCACCATAAGATCTACTACTAAAATTGCATTCCATTAATTCATTTTTGAATATACCCAAACCAAAGTCTTTAGACTCTAAAGTTAACCTCCATAATTCTAACTTCTCTTGAAATATCTCTCTAGTATTATCCACAAGATGGATATAATTAGCAAAAGCATACACCAAGGTACATCTTCCTGTAAATGTTTACTAAGAACATCCATAAATAAAGCAAGTGAACAA